AATCCACCCCAAATCCCACCCCAAACCCACTCCCCAAACTACCACCCCAAACCCACCCCAAATCCACTCCCAAACCCACCCCAAATCCATCCCCAAACCCACCCCAAATCCACCCCCAAATCCACCCCAAATCCACCTCCCAAACCCACCCCAAATCCACCCCAAATCCACCTCCAAAATCCATCCCCAAATCCACCCCAAATCCACCCCAAACCACCCCAAACCCACCCCAAATCCACCCCAAATCCACCCCCAAATCCACCACCCCAAACCCACCCTAAATCCCACCCCAAATCCACCCCAAATCTACCCCAAACCCACCCCAAATCCACCCCCCAAATCCACCCCAAACCCACCCCAAATCCATCCCCCAAATCCACCCCAAATCCACCCTAAATCCACCCCAAATCCATCCCCAAATCCACCCCAAACCCACCCCAAACCACCCCCAAATCCACCCCAAATCCACCCCAAATCCATCCCCAAATCCACCCCCAAACCCACCCCAAATCCACCCCAAATCCATCCCCAAATCCACTCCCAAACCCACCCCCAAATCCACCCCCAAATCCATCCCCCAAACCCACCCCAAATCCACCCCAAATCCATCCCCAAACCCACCCCAAATCCACCCCCAAATCCATCCCAAATCCACCCCCAAATCCACCCCAAACCACCCCAAATCCACCCCAAACCCACCCCAAACCCACCCCCAAATCCACCCCCAAACCCACCCCCAAACCCACCCCAAATCCACCCCCAAACCCATCCCCAAATCCACCCCCCAAACCCACCCCAAACCCACCCCAAACCCACCCCAAATCCACCCCCAAATCCACCCCAAATCCACCCCCAAACCCACCCCAAACCCACCCCAAATCCACTCCCAAATCCACCCCCAAATCCATCCCCAAACCCACCCCCAAATCCACCCTAAATCCATCCCCAAACCCACCCCAAATCCACCCCCAAATCCACCCCAAATCCACCCCAAACCCACCCCAAATCCACCTCAAATCCATCCCCCAAATCCACCCCCCAAATCCATCCCCCAAATCCCACCCCAAACCCACCCCAAATCCACCCCAAACCCACCCCAAAACCCACCCCAAATCCACCCCAAACCCACCCCAAATCCACCCCAAACCACCCCAAACCCACCCCAAATCCACTCCTAAACCACCCCCAAATCCACCCCAAACCCACCCCAAACCCACCCCAAACCCACCCCAAAATCCACCCCCAAATCCACCCTAAATCCATCCCCAAATCCACCCCAAACCCACCCAAATCCACCCCAAATCCATCCCCAAACCCACCCCAAATCCACCCCAAACCCATCCCCAAATCCACCCCCCAAACCCACCCCAAATCCATCCCCAAAACCCATCCCCAAACCCACCCCAAATCCATCCCCAAATCCATCCCCAAACCCACCCCAAACCCACCCCAAATCCACCCCAAACCCACCCCAAATCCACCCCCAAACCACCTCCAAACCACCCCAAATCCACCCCAAATCCACCCCAAATCCACCCCCAAATCCCACCTCAAATCCACCCCAAATCCATCCCCAAATCCACCCCCAAATCCACTCCCAAACCCACCTCCAAATCCACCCCAAATCCACCCCCAAACCCACCCCAAATCCACACCCCAAATCCACCCCCAATCCATCCAACCCCAAACCCACCTCAATCCATCCCAAACCATCCCCAAATCCATCCCCAAATCCACCCCCAAATCCATCCCCAAACCCATCCCCTAAATCCACCCCAAACCCACCCCAAATCCACCCCCAAATCCACCCCAAATCCACTCCCAAATCCACCCCAAATCCACCCCAAATCCATCCCCAAATCCACCCCCAAACCCACCTCCCAAATCCACCCCAAACCACCCCCAAACCCACCCCAAATCCACCCCAAACCCATCCCCAAATCCACCCCAAACCCATCCCCAAATCCACCCTCAAACCCACTCCAAACCACCCCAAATCCATCCCCCAAACCCACCCCAAATCCACCCCAAATCCACCCCCAAACCCACCCCAAACCCACCCACCCCAAACCACACCCCAAACCATCCCCAAATCCACCCCAAATCCACCCCAAACCCACCCCAAACCCACCCCAAATCCACCCCCAAACCCACCCCAAACCCACCCCAAACCCACCCCAAATCCACCCCCAAACCCACCCCAAAACCACCCCAAACCACCCAAACCACCCCAAACCCACCCCAAATCCACCCCCAAACCACCCCAAATCCACCCTAAACCCACCCAAACCCTCCCCAAATTCACCCCAAATCCACCCTCCCAAATCCACCCCAAATCCATCCCCCAAATCCAATCCCCAAACCCACCCTAAATCCAACCACCCTCAAACTCCACCCCCAAATCCACCCTAAACTCCATCCCCAAACCCACCCCAAAAATCCCCGAAATTCCACCCCAAATTCCACTCCCAATTCCCCCTCGAGGTGGGGGCGGGGGAGTTCGAGGATTTTGGAGCGTTTTTGGGAGCATTTTGGGGACATTTTAGGTGGGTTTGGGACATTTTGGGGTATTTTGGGGGGTTTTGGGGGTTTTGGGGTCGTTTTCTCTCGTGACCTCTCTGGACCCCCCAGGTGCTCAGTCCCTGGTGAGGGTTCATGTCCCTCCCCCTCCCTCCCTCCGAGGGCACTGGGGAGGTTTTGAGGGAGATTTTGGGACATTTTGGGACATTTTCGGGGTGGTTTTGGGGTTTTGGGGTCGTTTTTCTCTGGGACCCTCAAACCTCCCTAAATCCCCCACCCAGGTGCTCAGTCCCTCGTGAGCGTCCACGTCCGCCACCCCCCGAGTCCCCTGTGCGGATCCACCGCGTGGAGCGGGTGCTGGAGGGGAGGGGAGGAGGGGAGGGATGGGGTCTTGCTGACCCCTCCCCTCTCCGGAGCCCCTCGGAGCCCCCGAGCCCCCGACCCCCGGGGTCCCCCTGGCCCCGCGTGTTGGCGCTGAGGGGGCTCTGAGACCCCCTGAGAGGAGGAGGAGGGGGGAGGGGTTCAGGTACTGCTTCAGGAACCTCCGGGGGCAGTGAGACCCCACCCCAAAATATCAAACAATCTGGGGGTGGGAGGGGAGATTGGGGGATTTGGGGAGATTGGGGGATTTGAAGGATTTGGGGCTTTGGGGGATTTGGTGGTGGGAGGAGCATTTGGGGGATTTGGGGGAATTTGGGGGATTTGGGGTGGAGGGGGATTTTGGGGATCTGAGGGGATTTGGGGCTTTGGGGGATTTCGGGGTGGGAGGGGGCATTTGGGGCAGATTGGGGGTCTGGGGATTTGAGGGGTGGAGGGGGATTTTGGGGATTTGAAGGAATTTGGGGGATTTGGGGTGGGAGGGGGATTTTGGGGATTTGAGGGGGATTTGGGGGTGGGAGGGGATTTGGGGCAGATTTGGGGGATTTGAGGGGATTTGGGGGTATTTGGGGGTGGGAGAGGGATTTTGGGGGATCTGAGGGGATTTGGGGCTTTTGGGGGATTTGGGGGTGGGAGAGGAGATTTGGGGGGATTTGAGGGGGATTCGGGGCTTTTGGGGGATTTGGGGGATTTGAGGGTGGGAGGGAGATTTGGGGGATTTGAGGGCGGAGGGGGATTTTGGGGGATTGGGGAGATTGAGAGGGTCGGGGGATTTTGGGGTGATTGGGGGATTGGAGGGGGTCGAGGAAGATTTGGGGATATTGGGGAGATTTTGGGGGCTTTTGGGGGATTTAGGGGCTTTTGGGGGATTTGGGGGTGGATTTGAGGGGATTTGGGGGTGGAAAGGGGATTTTTTTGTGTTGTGGGGTTATTTTGGGGGTTTTTTTGAGTTCTGGGGTTATTTTGGGGTTCGGGGGTCTCAAAGCCCCTGACTCCTTTCCCCCCAGTGCAGCTCCCCTGCCCGGGCTCTGCACTCCTTTGAGGATGGGGGGTCCTGACTTCGGGGGGTTTTTGGGTTCTGGGGTTTTCGGGGGTTTTGGGGTTTTTGGGGTTCGGGAGGGGTCCCAAAGCCCCCTGACCCCCTTTTCCCCCCCACAGTGCAGCTCCCCCTGCCCGGGCTCCGCACCCTTTGAGGGGGAGGGTCCTGACTTCAGGTGGATTTTTTTGGGTTCTGGGTTTTTGGGGTTTGGGGTTTTGGGGTTCAGGGGGTCCCAACACCCCTAACCCCTTTCCCCCCAGTGCAGCTCCCCCTGCCCGGGCTCTGCACCCCTTTTGAGGGGGTCCTGAGTTCCGAGTGGGATTTTTTGGGATTCTGTTTCTTTCTGGGGTTCGGGGGTTATTTTGGGGTTCTGGGGGTCCCAACACTCCTGACCCCCCTCCCCCACAGTGCAGCTCCCCTGCCTGGGCTCTGCACCCCTTTGAGGGGTGGGGTCCTGACTTCGGGGGTGGTTTTTGGGTTCTGGGGTTTTCGGGGTTTTGGGGGTTTTTGGGGTTCCAGGGGTCCTAACGCCCCCTGACCCCATTTACTCCCCACAGTGCAGCTCCCCCTGCCCGGGCTCTGCACCCCTTTTGAGGAGGGGGCTTTTTGGGTTCCAAGTGGGATTTTTTGGGGGTTCTGGGGTTATTTTGGGTTCGGGGGTTATTTTGGGGTTCCGGGAGTCCTGACACCCCTGACCCCCTTTCCCCCCACAGTGCAGCTCCCCTGCCTGGGCTCCGCACCCCTTTGAGGGGGATCCTGAGTTCTGAGTGGGGATTTTTGGGATTCTGTTTCTTTCTGGGGTTCGGGGGTTATTTTGGGAGTTCCAGGGGGTCTCAAAGTCCCTGACCCCCTTTCCCCCACAGTGCAGCTCCCCTGCCCGGGCTCCGCACCCGCTCCGTTTGTTGCCGCGGGGGGGTCGGCGTGGCCTGGGGGGTCCACGAGTGTCAACCTCTTGCGAGGCCACGCGGGTAAGGACCCCTTTTTGGGGTTTTTTTGGGGTTTTGGAGGCGTGGCAGGGAGGGCTCTTAAATTCCATCTTTCTCTCTATTCCCCGGAATTCCCAGCGCTTTCCCCGCGGGACTCGCCCTGCCCGCCGGGATTCCAGAGGCAAAACGGCTCCTGCCACGGTCAGGATTTTGGGGAATTTGGGGGTTTGGGGATTTGGGGATTTGGGGGATTTGGGGGTTTAGGGGATTAGGGGAGATTGGAGGGATTGAGGGATTTTGGGGGTTTGGGGATGGAAGGATTTGGGGGAGATTGGGGATTTGGGGGAATTTTGGGGGAGATTGAGGATTTGGGTGATCTGGAGGGGTTTTGGGGAGATTGGGGATTTGGGGAGATTGAGAGGGATTGAGGGGGATTTGGGGGTGGGAGGGGGATTTTGGGGCATTTGGGGGATCTGAGGGATTTGGGGGTGGGAGGGGATTTTGGAGGATTGGAGGGATTTTTGAGTGTCTGAGGGGATTTGAGGAGAGACTGGGGGATTTGGGGAGATTGGGATCGAGGGATTTGGGGGATTGGGGGATTTGGGGGAAATTGGAAAGGGGGATTTTGGGGAATTTGGGAGATTGGGGGATTTGGGGGAGATTGGGGAATTTGGGGGATTTGGGGATCTGGAGGGTTTGGGGGATCTGGAGGAGATTTGGGGAAGATTGGGGAGATTTTGGGGAGATTGATGGGACGGGGAGGATTTGGGGAAATTGTAAAGAGGGGGATTTTTGGGGGATATTTTTGGGGGGGGATTTTTTTGGGATGGGGGAGGGGTGTCAAACGAATGACTCCCCCCCCCAAAATCCCCCCTAAATCAGACGTGGATGAGTGTGAGGAGGGGTCCCTGTGCAGGAACGGGATCTGCACCAACACCCGGGGGGGCTTTGCCTGCCTCTGCCCCCCGGGGTTCCTGCTGGATTCATCCCGCTCCAGATGCATCTGTGAGCAGTTATAGGATTGGGAATGGGATTGGGATCAATGGGAATGGGATTGGGGTGGGATTCCTGCTGGACTCATCCCGCTCCAGATGCATCTGTGAGCATTTATGGGATTGGGAATGGGATTGGGATCAATGGGATTGGGATTGGGGTGGGATTCCTGCTGGATTCATCCCCCTCCAGATGCATCTGTGAGCATTTATGGGATCAGTGGGATTGGGGTGGGATTCCTGCTGGATTCATCCCGCTCCAGATGCATCTGTGAGCATTTATGGGATTGGGAATGGGATTGGGGTGGGATTCCTGCTGGATTCATCCCGCTCCAGATGCATCTGTGAGCAGTTATGGGATTGGGAATGGGATTGGGATCAATGGGATTGGGGTGGGATTGGGGTGGGATTGGGGTGGGATTCCTGCTGGACTCATCCCGCTCCAGATGCATCTGTGAGCATTTATGGGATCACTGGGATTGGGAATGGGATTGGGAATGGGATTGGGATCAATGGGATCAATGGGATTGGGGTGGGATTGGGATCGGGATTGGGGTGGGATTGGGAATGCGATTGGGGTGGGATTGGGAATGGGATTGGGATGGGATTGGGGTGGATTCCTGTTGATTCATCCCGCTCCAGATGCATCTGTGAGCAGTTATGGGATCAATGGGATTGGGGTGGGATTGGGATCAATGGGATTGGGATTGGGATCAATGGGATCAATGGGATTGGGGTGGGATTCCTGCTGGACTCATCCCGCTCCAGCTGCATCTGTGAGCAGTTATGGGATTGGGAATGGGATTGGGATCAATGGGATTGGGGTGGGATTCCTGCTGGACTCATCCCGCTCCAGATGCATCTGTGAGCATTTATGGGATTGGGAATGGGATTGGGATCAGTGGGATTGGGATTGGGGTGGGATTCCTGCTGGACTCATCCCGCTCCAGATGCATCTGTGAGCATTTATGGGATCAATGGGATTGGGAATGGGATTGGGATCAATGGGATTGGGGTGGGATTCCTGCTGGACTCATCCCGCTCCAGCTGCATCTGTGAGCATTTATGGGATCAGTGGGATCAGTGGGATTGGGATCAATGGGATTGGGATCAATGGGATCAATGGGATCAATGGGATCAATGGGATCAATGGGATGTGTCCCCCCCCCAGCCCAGCAGGTCCTGTCCGAGCAGAGGGGTCCCATTTACACCCACTCTGGGCTGGGATAGGATGGGATAGGATGGACTGGGATGGACTGGGGTGGTCTGGGGATGGGGTAAGTTGGTCTGGGGGTTGGATAAGTTGGTCTGGGGGTGTCCCTGAGCCCCCCGTGTCCTCCCCAGCCCAGCAGGTCCTGTCCGAGCAGAGGGGTCCCATTTACACCCACTCTGGGCTGGGATTTGCTGGGATTTGCTGGGATAGGTTGTACTGGGATGGTCTGGGGTGGGATAGGATGGACTGGGATGGACTGGGGTGGTCTGGGGGTGTCCCTGAGCCCCCCCCGTGTCCCTCCCCCAGCCCAGCAGGTCCTGTCCGAGCAGAGGGGTCCCATTTACACCCACTCTGGGCTGGGATAGGATGGGATAGGATGGACTGGGATGTACTGGGGGTGGGATAGGATGGACTGGGATGGACTGGGATGTACTGGGGGTGGGATAAGTTGGTCTGGGGGTGTCCCTGAGCCCCCCCCGTGTCCCCCCCCAGCCCAGCAGGTCCTGTCCGAGCAGAGGGGTCCGTGTTTCCGGCTGGTTGCCGAGGGGGGGGCGTGTGCCCTGCCCACCCTGCGCAACATCACGCGCCAGGTTTGCTGCTGCAGCCGCGTGGGCAAAGCCTGGGGGGGCTCCTGCCTGCGCTGCCCCCCCTTCGGATCCGGTGAGACCCCCCCCAAAAAAAAAACAAACACCTGGGCACCCTAAAAAACCCCTGGGAACAACCCCCAAATTTGTGGGAATAACCAACCCAAAGAATGTTCAAAAAAACCAGCTGGGATTCCCTTCCCCCCCCAAAAACCACCCAGGACCTCCCCAAAAATATCAGGAACCCACCTGACCCCTCCCAAAATCACCTGGGAACCCCTCAAAACACCTAGGACCCCCAAAAACACCCGACCCCCCAAACACCCGGGACCCCCAAAAACCAACCGGACCCCCAAAAAAAAAAAAAAAAACGCGTGGGATCCCTTCCCATCAAAATCTCACCCCACCACCCCCAAATCTCACCCCTGTCCCCTAAATTTCCCCTTTTCCCCCAAAAAGAGGGATTTCAGGAGATCTGTACAGCCAGTCCCGGGTACCCAAATCTCACCTTCAAATTTCCCCTTTTTCCCCCCAAATTTCCCCTTTTTCCTCTCAAACAGAGGGATTTTGGGAGATCTGCCCAGTAGTTCCTGGGTACCCAAATCTCACCCCCAAATCTCCCATTCCCCAAATTCCCCTTTTTTCCCCCAAAACCAGAGGGATTTTGGGAGATCTGCCCAGCAGGTCCCAGATACCCAAATCTCACCCCCAAATTCCCTTTTTTCCCCCAAAAACAGAGGGATTCCGGGAGATCTGCCCAGCTGGTCCCGGGTACCCAAATCTCACCCCCAAATCTCCCCTTTTTTTTCCCCAAACCAGAGGGATTCCGGGAGATCTGCCCAGCTGGTCCCGGGTACCCAAATCTCATCCCTTTTTTCCCCAAATTTCCCTTTTTTCCCCCAAAACCAGAGGGATTCCGGGAGATCTGCCCAGCAGGTCCCGGGTACCCAAATCTCACCCCAAATCTCCCATTTTCCCCAAATTTCCCTTTTTTCCCCCCAAACCAGAGGGATTTCAGGAGATCTGCCCGGCAGGTCCTGGGTACCCAAATCTCACCCCCAAATTTCCCCTTTTTTCCCCCAAATTTCCCCCTTTTCCTCCCCAAAAAAGAGGGATTTTGGGAGATCTGCCCAGCAGGTCCCAGGTACCCAAATCTCATCCCTTTTTTCCCCAAATTTCCCTTTTTTTCCCCAAACCAGAGGGATTCCGGGAGATCTGCCCAGCAGGTCCCGGGTACCCAAATCTCACCCCCTAAATCTCCCATTTTTGCCCCAAAATTCCCCTTTTTTTCCCCAAACCAGAGGGATTCAGAGAGATCTGCCCAGCAGGTCCCGGGTACCCAAATCCCCCCTATTTTGCCCCAAATTTCCCCTTTTTCCCCCCAAAAAAGAGGGATTTCAGAGAGATCTGCCCAGCAGGTCCTGGGTACCCAAATCTCACCCCCAAATCTCCCATTTTCACCCCAAATTTTCCCCAAAACCAGAGGGATTCCGGGAGATCTGCCCAGCAGGTCCCGGGTACCCAAATCTCACCCCCAAATCTCCCTTTTTTTCCCCCAAATTTCCCCCCAAACCAGAGGGATTTCGTGAGATCTGCCCGGCTGGTCCCGGGTACCCAAATCTCACCCCCAAATCTCCCATTTTCACCCCAAATTTCCCTTTTTTCCCCCAAAACCAGAGGGATTCAGAGAGATCTGCCCAGCAGGTCCCGGGTACCACTACTCTGCCTCCGACCTGCGCATCAACACCCAATTCCTGGGCCAGGACGTCACCAGGGTCCCCCTGGGGCCCCCCCGAGCCCCCCCGACCCCCTGTGAGCACCCCAAAAATCACTCGGACCCCCCTCGAGTCCCCTGAACCACCCTGAGTTCCCCAAAACTTCCTCTAAACCCACTTAACACCCCAAAACTCCCCCTAAGCCTCTCCTGAACCCCCTGAGCCCCCCAAAGCTCCCCCTAAACCCACTTAACGCCCCAAAACTTCCCTAACTCCCTACCTCTCTGAACCCCCAAACCTCCTCTAAACCCACTTTAACACCCCAAAACCCCCTGACCCCCCTGAACCCCCTGAACTTCCCTGAGCCTCCTGAGCTCTCTGCAACCTTCCTCAAACCTTCTCAACTCCCCCAACCCCTTCCCCAACCCCCAACCCAATGCTTAACCCCCCCAATCCTCCTAAACCCCCTCCAAACCCCTCCTCAAACCCTCCCAACCCCCCAAATCCGCCTTAACCTCCAAATCCCTTCCAGTCTCCCTCAAATCCTCTCAACCCTCCCCAACCCCTACTCATTAAACCCCTCAACTCCCCCAATACTCCTCAAACTCCCTCTAAACCCCCCTTTTGTGTATCCCCCAGCTCCCAGGACCCCTCCTCGGTGGGGACTCCTCGGCCTCTCGCCGCCCCCCTCCCCCGGGCCCGAGGTGATCGTGGTACCTCGGCCCAGCCCCCCAATTTGGGGGCCTCTGTCTCACTCTCTGCCCCCCTCGAGCCAGTGTAAGGAGGAGGGGGATTTGGGGG